ATTTAGAGGGTTAATATGTTGTGGGGTTGTTAACCAATGTCATAAAACAACATGTGTACTACTGTTTCATGAGAAACTATTTGTTCTGTAAGCCTTCAGCTGAAGTACAATAAAATATAAAAAAAATCAAATAATGCATTGCACTGGGCAAGTCTGCTGCAAAAGACTTCTTTAAAGTGGACTTCTTTGAAAAGGAAATATGTCACCTTGGCTAAGGTGCACCTGAGCATGGTGTTCTCAACTTCCTCATATGCACGTGAAAGCTGGACAATGAATAAGGAAGACCAAAAAAGAACTGATGCCTTTGAATTGTGGTACTGGTGAATATACCATGGACTACCAAAAGAACAAACAAATCTGTCTTGGAAGAAGTACAGCCAGAATGCTCCTTAGAAACAAGGCTGGCAAGACTAGGTCTCACATACTTTGGACATGTTATCAGGAAGGATCAGTTCCTGGAGAAGGACATCATGCTTGGTAAAATGAAGAGTCAGCGAAAAAGAGGAAGACCCTCAATGAGATGGACTGATGCAGTGGCTGCAGCAATGGGCTCAAGCATGACAATGATTATAAGGATGGTGCAGGACCAGGCAATGTCTCATTCTGTCGTACATAGGGTCATTATGAGTCACAACCGACTCGATGGCACGTAACAACAGAGTTTGAATATTAGAATCCTGAGATAAGCTGAAGGTGCTGAGTGATTGCTGAAGACATCTCCTCTAGAGATGAGTAATCTAGACTGCAAATGAGCAGCTCCCAATCCACTTATAGTAAAGAGATGTCTGGCCTTGAAAGTTCTCAACTTCAGACCAATTATTTTTAAAAACTTCTCAGTAGCTCTAATAGTGAAGCACTTCATATTTTAGTAAGTATATGCCTTCTAGGACAGTGACTTGCATTGCATCCCACACTTCCCTAATGATAGCCCTCTCACACTGTGTTAACATTACTTGTTCAACTGTATCCACTAATAGATTTTGAACTCCCTGGAGAACAAAGACTGTACCTGTTTTATTTAGGCTTGACCATAGTTTTCTCAGAGATTGGTTAGTAAGAAATATAAACAATTAGCCTTATATGTAACTCAGTAACTACCGTGGTTAGAAATAACACAACTGAAAATAGCTAAAACTGCACTTCACAAATATTTTATTGACAGAACTGTTGAAAGAATCAAATTTTTCTGATAAAATTTTATTTTGCTAGTTAAGACATTTTGGAAATTTTATGTATCTGAAGAAGGGTGTATATGGATATTGGGCAGCTAAGAAACTGATGAGACTATACAATTAAAATGTTTTAATATTTGAGAATATTATGTGTATTTTGCTAAGAACTTGATCAATGGGAAAAGTTAAAGGCTATTTAATATGCATATTATATGAATTTGATTAATGTGAATGTTAGTTTTTAAATTCTCTTGTCTTCACTGACATTTTGAAACATCTTTGTCACTGTCAGCATTATGAAACACTTGGCAGCTAGTTATCTTGAAATTAAGTCCAACCAACCCAAATCTGGGAATAAACACAAGGTATTTTCTGATATTCATACTTGACTTTTTTGTTAAAATCAAATTTATATAACCTAGTTTTTGTTTGGATAATGCTGCGGACTTTGCTGACTTATACTTAGTTATTATTTACTCTAACATAAAAGACCCTTAGTAAGTTATACTGAAAAATTAGAAAATCTTTCATTATAAATAATTTAAACATTAGAACTAGAGTTGATTCAGCAACGTTCAAAATAGGGCACAACAGTTGATAGTGACCTTAGAAGCACTTCTTTAAAATCAAAAGATGGGTCCACTATTATAAAGGGCTTTATGTGCACATCCCTAAATCAGTGCATGTGCCCCCACTTCCTTGGTTAGGTAACAATGCAAAGGAAACTAACTTTGGAATATTTATTACACCAATATTTCAGTTTTGTGGGAAGATGCTAAAGGTGCCATGAAGAAATTAACAGAGTCTCAGTAAACTGGGCATATGATGCCACCCTATGGAGAACAATTCCTCTGGTATAGAATTATAGTTATTTTCTAACGTTTACTGCATAATAAATTTTAAATATCTGAAGTTATAGTTGTGATTAAAAAATTCACTTACTTTAAAGCAGAAGTCTTGAATTATTTTATAAGAAAGCTCTCTCCTACAGCAATTTATAGCATAGATAAATAATGTGAAAAAGTGACTACTTCCCAAAGCAAGTATCCATGGAAGCAGGGAATTGTTTACATAAAGATTGTATAACATAATATACTGGAATATTTACAGAATCATAAAATTCTAAGAAAACGTTTACACTCATTTCTGAAGAATATTAACTTGAAGAAACATTTGGGCATTAACTGGTACAATAATACTTTTTTCTTGGGCAGAACCAGCTAATCAGCTGCAAGGTTAATTTCTCTCCATGCATGGTCAGAAAAAAAGTTAAAATACCACAAATCCTCAATAAAAAAGAATTCTTCTCTTGAAAACTTGGAATTTTACATGAGGTAGTCATCCCACTCCAAGAAAATGAAGAATGTTTATGTGGGATTCTTTATCTAAAACTAAAAAATGAAACATTAAAAAAAAATTAAGAAATCTAATTAACATCCTCACTTTTATAAACAAATTAAATATTATAGACCTTTAAGAATCTACTTTTAAATATGTAAATTTTAGTAGAAAAAATCTGAACTCAAGCATACTATATGCTACTTTTCACTTGAGTAAACACAAACAGCAGAAACAGAAAAGTAGCAAAACGGAAGATCTCCTAATTGCACTACATATACACATCCTTGAGAAATCTTTACATATTAAATAAAAATTATATTAAATCTTCATCAAGATATCCTTTAGACAAATGGACACAGGGAACCTGGGGTGGAAAGGGGGAGTGTGCTGTCACACTGTGGGGATTGCAACTAATGTCACAAAACAATATGTATATAAATTTCTGAATGAGAAATTAACTTGAGCCGGAAACTTTCATCTAAAGCACAATTTAAAAAAAAAAGATATCTACTAGAAATGCATTTTTTATCTAATACACTGTTTTGAATGATTTCTGCATTCAATAGCTGCTAAAATGCTTTAAAGATAATGAATTTAAAAGCATTTCTTCTCTTTTCTTCCCATCAACCAAAAATCTCAAATCTTTTGAGCAAGGCATTTTTTCTTATATAACTTGCATTTTAAAACAAACTCCAAAAAATAGTCAGCAAATAATTAGAAGTCTTAAGTACAAACTTAAAAAAAAGGCATATACCACCAAAAATAAAGTATGAAACTATTTTCTTTTTAACCAAATCAAGTATTTTAAACTTTGTATAAATAACACAAAATATTTTAGGTATGGTGTCTAAAATGGAATAGCACTAAAACACACAACAAAAAAACAACCTGTTATACTTAACTGAAAATATGAATGTTGTCCACTTCCTTAAAGGTATACCTTATGAATTTTTACTGGCACTCTTGTAAAAGAATAAAAGTAGCAACTGTACTTTTTACCAATTTACTCTCTCAAAGAATCTCTTAGTAAAGGAAATATCTTCCAAGGCTGCAACAGAGATTTTTGAAACCCCTCAAATATAGAGCCTGTAGAAAAAAATGCTGAATAAGAATTGAAATTCCTCTTCAACTATGTATCTTAATGAGATTATACACTTAAAAAAGCAATCTATTTTATGACTTATGCTTAAATTTAATGGATGACCATACGTCCCAGGGATTGAAGAATCTTATTGGTGGCCAAGAGATCAAAGGATGGCAATGTTCTTGGCATTCTCAATCTCAAATTTTTTAAAGAAAACTATTCATGTAGTCTTAGAAAAATTAGGAGATAGTTCTACTTGAAAAACACTCACCACAAACAAATACAAGGGAAACAACTAAGAAAACAGATTGTGTTATATCTTTGTAAGCTTGTTCTATTTCAAAATGTATTCTTTAGGGTCATGGAAATTTCCTATACAAATAAAACTAGACATTTGTTCCCTTTGCTTTGAAAAATATTTACAGTACATGGAACAACAAGCTGAAAGCATACACCTGCTTATATTGCTGGCCAGTGATGTAGATAAAGGACACGAAAGTGCTTATTTAATTATCTGAGCATCTTGTTTGTACAGTGAAGCTGTTGTAGATAAACTATAAAAAATTAGAAAATATTATTAATGAACACTAGCTCTTGTGTACAACATTACACAAGATGCCAGGGTATTATATATTCACTGTGATAAAAACTGTCCATACTTATCCTGTGCATCTCTCACATGGCAAAGTTTACATTACAATTTTTTCATCTCTCAAAAATCTGAGTTGGGAAGTATTTCTTTTTTCTTTGCCAAAGAAAGGTGATGTTAATTAACTTATTAGGTTCATGAAATATTTTACAAAATTCCCTGCTAAGGTCTTTTCGTCAATGTCTTTTACTGGTGTCCTCATGGAGAAAACACATTAAACTTTGAAAGTTTTGATGAGATAGTTTCACATCTTTGCTGGCTAGCAATATGACTTATGCAGTAATAGTCCACAGCAATGTGAGATGCAAAACTTTCTTCTGTGAGTCTACTTTGGTCTCAGAGTAAAGTTCATTTCTTTCATCAAGCCATGTTGTCCCTTATTCGATCCACTCGAAGAGCCAGGTCCCTGAAGGAAGGGCGCTGATTTACATTATTGTTCCAGCATTCTGTCATGATCATATAAATCTGCAAAGGAGAAAATAAGCCAAAATTACAATGAACACAAACTGCCATCTTCTAACTGGTGGAGGACAGTAACTCGGGACTCCTACTTAATTTTCCTATATAGGGCACATATCATGGCTATGCTTGATCTGATTACCGTATTTATCTAAAAGCTTGGCAAATTAAATTTTATAAAATGATCTGAAATTCTTGGGTAAAAAGAAAAATGAAATGCACGATTACTGTGTATAAAAATATTTTTTATTACCTCATCTGGGCATCCCTCTGGTCTTGGTAATCTTCCATTATTCTTCAAGAGCTCTATCAAATGGAACACAATCATCTGTCCTTGTTTGTCATTGCCAATCATACGCATAAATTCCTGAAACACAAACCCACTTTCAATGAGTTTTTACACATTTAACTTGAAGCATAATTTTTCCCCATCTTCTCCCAAGAAAGGAGAAATATTCTGTATATGTATCTTTTTCTCCTATGTTTCAAAACATTTTCAAAACAGACTATTGTAAGGATCAAAAACTTCCATTTCAGTCATATTTCAGAAAAGACTATTAAATGTGGAATCTGTATAATGCCATTTCTATAGTTAACACACTACCAATTCCCTGAGAAGAGCCCAAAACAAATTAACTAAAAACATATTTACTTTGGTTTTGTTGTTGTTGTTTCAATACATCATATTACATTTCAGTTGATATAAAAAGTTAAATGCAAAAGAGAACATAAAAAGAAGAACATGCAGAACGAATAAGTATAAACGCAATGGAGAGAAAAACTTTCATATGTCAAAAGAATCAAAATCATAAACATAAAAGTTAGGGAAATATTTACAACAAACGTATCACTTATATATTTTAAATACAGAGCTCTTATAAATTAGTAAGAAAAATTACCAATATAAAAATGGGCAAATCATATGAGGAGACAATTCACACACACACATACACACCTAACATCCAATAAACACTTATTTACACTAATAAGATCAAATGAGATACCACTTCTATCAGTTTGGTAAAACTGAATAAAATATAATGGTCAATACTGGCAAATGATGAAATGTACACCCCTATGCATTAGTATTGAGAATGTAATCTGGTACATCTTTTCTGGAAAGTATTTGAAATAATCAAGAACCTGTAAAAATCTATAATTACACTTTTATTCTAAGGTGATAAGCAAAGATAAACATAAATATTTATGCATAAAGATGTGTACTATGTTCACTAAAGGGACCATAGTTAAAAGATTATTTAAAAGAGTGAAAAATGGAAAACGATTGTCCAGAAATATATATCCTTACGATGGAATGATACCCAGCAGTTAGAAATCACATCTGTAATAAATATTTACTAATATAGGAAAATACCTATGCTGTAATACTCAGTGAAAAGACAGTATAGTGAACTGTACAGTATAACCTTAAATTTTAGAAATCTATGTGTGTGTGTGTATATATATACTTATAAAATTTCACTTTTATATAAAATAAAAAAGTCTGGAAGAAAACATATGACAATATTAAAGTAGTTATCTCTGAATTAAAGACGATTTATTTTTTCATACTTTCTACAAGACGCAAGAAAAAATTACTATAAAAATTTTTACTTATCCAATAATTCCTAGAATGAATGAGATTACTGATTTTACTAAAAATAATATTAAGAGAATATACTAAATAATGTTCCAACTCCCCTGTTTTAAAAATTCAAGTCAATTTAATGAGTAAGTTTAGGGGGTTGTTTTGGATGTTGCCTTACAAATGATCAATAAGAGGCCCTAAAATGGGCTCTTGGTTTATTCTTCTTCTTTGGTTAAAAACCCTTTCTCATGTTTAAAAAAAAAAGAAAAGAAAAGTAAATAAAAAGCACACTGACCGCTGGTGGACTTTTACTCTTCTCAATGTATGTGAAAAGCTCATATAGAACCACTCCAAAGCTCCAAACATCTGAGGCCACAGAAAACTTGCTCTCTGTCAGTGATTCTGGAGCATACCTGTAATATATGCAATGCATTTAAAAGACAGTTGCTTGATGTGCCAACTCTTGACTTCACCTGCAAATCATTGGATAAAGAAAACAAGGTGTGCAGAGAAGAGTTACCACAGCAGGCCTGAGGCTCGCATCCTCAGAAAGGCCCGCTTGCAATGCTGACCCGGGGCTGGCATCTGGGAACTTAGATTTCAGGAGGGTTTCCTGAACTAGAGAATTAGACAGCAAGGAACAACCATGCACCCATCACCCAGCTAAACACACTGCTCTTCTTGCTTCATAGGTTACTTCCCACCCCCGAACTCCTTTATTTGAAGTCAATCCCAGACATTGCAATATTTCAACCATAATTATTCCAGTATGCATCTCTGAAAGATAAGGACTCTTTAAAACACATTCACAAGTCCATTATAATTTATTCTTCTGTGGAAATAACTCTTTAGTTCTAAATCATCAGAGTTTTCTTACCTGATTTCTTTCCAGACTAACCATTTGCAATAGCTGGGATTAGCTGTAAAATTTACAGGTACAATATAACACAAAGATAACTATGATCCATAAACTTAGCAGCAGCACATCAGGTGATTTATGTATTTCTAATAGAGACCCCAGAAACATTTTTATAAACTGAAAGTTATGTTTTTTTATATTAATAATCCTCATTTTCAAGTCAGATACCTAAAATGTTAATGAAACATACTTAACTAAAATACATAAAATCTATTCCTTAACAATAACATCTGATTCAAACAACATAATCTTTAGAGTACTACTTCAGTAGATGAATAAACCAGAATTAAAGTCTGTTTGGAATATATCCAAGATCAAAACATTTAAATATAATTTCACCAAGTCATCCCTAGAAAGCAAAATATACCATAAATGAAGTATTAAAAAGAAAACTTTGCATCAAAGCAGATTGATAGAAAAAATGCATACCACAGAAAAAAATAGGTTTGTGTGTTCCTCACAATTAATACAAAATTTTAACTGAAGACCAAAACTAACTTTAGCTTCAAACTGCTGTAACATATAAAATATTCTATTAGGGCCAGACTAAAGCACCATCATGGTTAAGAAAGCTTAAAAGCAGAAACACTGAGATCAGACTCGGCTTGAATCCCAGTGCTATCATTTATTAGTTATGTGCCCTTGGGCAAGATATTTAACCTCTCTATGCCTCAGCTCCCTCATATTTAAAATAGAGATGATAATAGCACACATTCTCCTGAGGTTGTTATAAGAATTTAATGAGATAATCCATGAAATGCACTCAGCCCAATGTAAGCACGTGATAAATATTTGTTATTATTATAACAATATATGAGATAAACTATTAAATAATAGTAGTAAAAATAAAGCTTGAAGTGCTCTAAAATTTCACGTTATTGAACTAAAATAATACTCACCAGAATATGGGACTTTCACCCGGTTCTTTCACTTTGTAGTATTCTTTGTCTTGTGGCAAAACTTTAGTCAACCCAAAATCCCCAATTTTAACTCTGTTCTCATTCTCCACCAATATATTTCTTGTTGCTAGATCCCTGTGGATATACCTTTTTGTACCAAGATATTCCATGCCCTATGGATAAAATAACATTTTTCTTTAAGCTAATTTTATAAACATAAACAATTTAAGGGATCTTACCCCTATAAAAATGAAACACATTGCCGTCGAGTCAATTCCAACTCACAGCAACCCTACAGGACAGAGTAGAACTGCTCCACAAGGTTTCCAAGGCTGTAATCTTTACGGAAGCAGACTGCCACATCTTTCTCCCACGGAGCAGCTGATGGGTTTGAACTGCTGACCATTTGGTTAGCAGCTGAATGCTGAACCACTGTGCTACCAGGGCTCCTTCCTACCCCCTTTATTATCTAAGAAGAACTATAGAAGATTTCTTAATTACTTCAATATGCTTGCTTCATCTACAACAAACAGCCAGGATATTAGGTACCTTGCATATCTGAGATGTGTACTGTAGAAGTTTTTTATGATCTATCCGTTCTTTATGTTTTTGGAGATAGTCTCGTAAACTTCCATATGGTAAATATTCCATAATTAATCTCAGATTACGCCGACCTTTTAACATACAAATGGAACAGAATGTTTTACTTTGCCATGTTTTACTGATGAAATATTAGAAGACAACTACATATAAATAATTTAAAGATACATAAAATCTGAGTCTAAGATGATAAAACTTTAATTAAAGGTGATGCAGTAGTTAAGAACACAGGCTTCTCCTTTGGTGAGTAGCACCTGGGGTCTTAAAAGCTCGTGAGCGGCCATCTAAGATACTCCACTGGTCTCTCCTCGTCTGGAGTAAGGCAGAATGAAGAAAACCAAAGACATGAAGGAAAGATTAGTCCAAAGGACTAATGGACCACAGCTACCACAGCCTCCACCAGACTGAGTCCAGCACAACTAGATGGTGCCCAGCTACCACCACCAACTGCTCTATAGGGATCACAATAGAGGGTGCCGGACAGAGCTGGAGAAAAATGTAGAACAAATTCTAACTCACAAAAAAAACAAAAACAAAAAGATCAGATTTACTAGTCTGACACAGACTGGAGAAATCCCAAGAGTATGGCCCCTGGACACCCTTTTAGCTCAGTAATGAAGTCACTCCTGAGGCTCACCGTTCAGCCAAAGATTAGACAGTCTCATAAAATAAAACGAAACTAAAGGGGCACACCAGCCCAGGGGCAAGGGCGAGAAGGCAGTAGGGGACAGGCAAGCTGGTAATAGGGAACCCGAGGTCGAGAAGGGAGAGTGTTGACATGCTGTGGGGTTGGTAACCAATGTTGGAAAACAGTATGTGTACTCATGGTTTAATGAGAAGCTAGTTTGTTCTGTAAACCTTCATCTAAAGTACAACAATTAAAAAAAAAAAAAGAACACAGGCTTTTTGAAACACAGTTTTGAAATTAAACTTTGAAAATAGTTATATTTAGTCTTCTGTAGACTCTTCAGACAACCAAAACAAGCTAAAGAGAAAAACATCCTTTCTCCTCATTTATAGTGCACAAAAAGCATCTAATTTAAAATATTTTTATAGAATATATGAGGAAAGCCAACTTGTTTCTTTAAAAATTATATTCTCTTGGCAAATTTACACAATACTGATAACATCATTATCAGTGAGGACAGTGACTAACCAGTCAGCAAAGACTTTCTATAGTTATAGCCCACAGTCACCCAGCACAAGCGCCATTCATAGGGGATGCTTCACTCCCTGGGCACCGGTATATTATTCGTCCAGATTGCTAGACGTTTGCTTCTATCTCCTAGGATGCCAAAGACATATCTTGAGTTCAAACTAGGTTTCAGTAGGCAACATACCAGCACTGTAGCACACCCCCTTGTACTTTACAATGTTGTCATGCTGCAGGGATTTAAGGATCTCAATTTCCCTTTCAAAGTCTCGGAGGTGCTCCTCAGTGCTGTGCTGGAGCTTCTTCACGGCCACCACCTCCCCAGTGTTGTCCTGCAGAGGGTCATACCGGCACATCTCCACGCTCCCAAAATTACCCTAGCCAATGTTTTTAAAAAAAGATCACTCTTTAAGAAAAACATTCTTTTTATTTAAGACATATTAGTTATATAGAATTGATTACATTCGAAATAAAGTATAAGTTTTTGGTATTAATCAAATTAGTGTATTTTGAATATTATTGCATTGTTAAAAAACAATGTAGTTCTTGAGCTATAAGATTCTAAGTGACTAAATTTTCAGTTATATATTTGAAGTCAATTAACAACAATCTCAAAAACTGGACCATATGTGTAGGCTTAAGTTAAACCTCAATTACATAGTTTGGGAGGCTACAAAGCAAGGTGGGTAAGATCTGTAATTCTGGAGTCAGACAGATTGGAGCTAGAATCTTGGCCCATTACTTACTCCCTTTGTGACCTTCGGCAAGTCACTTCCCTCTCTGAACCTTAATTTTCTCTTCCTTAAAGTGAGGGATAACAAATTATCTATCTTACATTGCTACTGTGAGAAATTATTCCAAAACATATTTTAAAACATGAAAGCAGGAAATTAGAATTTTATATTCTTTTCTCCTACTTAATAATGGAGCAATAAAAATTTTCCAGTGTCATTAAATACTCTGAAAACATGATTTTTAATTGTTATATATTAAATTTTCACAGGAATATACTGATTTTTAAAACTGGAAATATAAATGTCCAACAATAAGAAAAGTTTTAAAAAAATAACACATTCATGTCACTGCAATAATATTCTTATTCATAAATATCTGTGTATATCTCTATTAAGGATACTTTCTTACAAGTGGAAATAGCTGTTTAAAGAATATGAACATTTCAAAGGGCCCTGATACATGCCGCATCAGAAACTCTGTAGAAGAGGTTGTCAATGCACATTCGACTGTACAGTGGAAACATGTCCATGTTATCACATCCCTGCCAACATGGTCATTATTCTTCTTCTAAATCTTTATCAGTTTGATAGGCACAAATCAATCTCACTGTTTTGATTTGAAATGCCTCTATTTTCCTTTAGAAGAAGAAGGTGAAGGAAAATGCTGAGACTGAAGAGATGGATTTAGGATAGGAAGCCAGAGGGACAGTAAATGTGTGGAATGGGTATCAGTGAAAGAATAAAATAAAAGAGAGTAAAGGAACTACCAATAACAGAGTCCTAAGTGCCTAGCCAATGTTGGAAACCAATTTGTGGTGGAGATAATAAACATATTTATAAGCGTATTTCTCTTACAGTGCTTGAGAGATGAAAGCAGAGGTAGAAAACTGCAGAACTGTATTGTCTCTGTACTGGGAAATGACAGGGAAAGTGGAGCAGATAATCAAGGGCAGTGACATAACAGTGGACATCAGTGAAAGCAGAGTTTAAGTGGTCTAACAGGAGATCTACCCAATCCAGGAAAGGAGAGAGTTGAATCTGAAAGTTAGCTAACAGGCTTTTAGAAGAGGAGGGGGTCAAAGACTCTGGCAAAACAAAGGTATCAAAAAGAAGGATCTGTATGTTGAGAAGAGTTGAAAGACACAAAGTTATTACAGTCAGAGAGGGAGACTTCAGGGTCTGAAATTTTGTATGTAAAGCTGTTAAAGGGAATCATAGAGTTCAAAGTAAAATCATTTAACATAGACATAGATTAGGGGTAGAGAAATCGAGGAATTTAGAGGGTGTTGGAAGGATGCCCAAAATAATGGCGGGAGGTGAAGTGAAGAAGAAAACAGTGAGTACTAAAAGTACTCAAGGAATGTGCAGTACTGACTAGGATTTTTCTTTAAATGCTAAAATTTGAGGTAATTTGTTACACAGCAATAGATAGCTAATATACCCAAATATCTGGACCTTTTTCTTATCATTGATATATCCCTTGAAAGTTTCCTGAGAATATTTTACAAACAAGGAACAACAGCAAAGTATTAATATAGTTAGGCAATGCTTAATATAACCCCAGTGTTTAGGACTGGTAAAGCTAGACTGGAACATTTAGCCTTCATCTTATATCCTTGCCCAAATCCAATCTATGAGGCCACATAGTATAGAGCCCTATACTGGTAAGCATAAGAGAAGAAAGAGAGAGCTTACTGCTATGGTTGAGCCTGCTAAGCACTGAGCCTTGCAAGTCTTGCTTATGATATACAGGCTATGCATGACTGTGTGACCAAACATATACAGACTGTGTCTACTAATGAACATGGCCCAGTCAACATCCTAGATTTGAACAATCAGATTATTTCTCCGAGATGACTAACGAAGCAGGTGGGCAGAAAGACAGGGAGAAAGGCTTACATGCACCTTTTTCTATTCTATACACAAAAGCTCCCTCTACCAAGAAAGAATCCCATGGTCAAATCAATTTGGGAAATACCACCTAATTTATTATGCTCTGGAAAACGTTCACTGCACATTACATGTCAAAGGCTCTGAGATGTTCTTCAGTAAAGAAAGCTGTCTCTTCAACTCAGCATTTCTCCAATATTTGACAACAAAACTTTTTTCTATAAACACCCCTTTCTATAAACATCCCTTAAAGTCTTTTTTTCTATAAACACCCCTTAAAGTCTTTTTTTTTCCCCTAAATAAAATGTTCTATGACTGTACTCTATTTAAAAAATTCTGGACATCTCACCTTGCCAAGTTGCTGTAAAAATTTCAAATGTCTTTCTTCAAACTGTGTAGGGTCCCTGTCTTCAAAAGCACCAGAAAATCCTAGGGCACCTATCCTCATATTTGGTAACATGTCATTTTCTGTTAACAGTTCATAATCTAGAGAAAAAAAGAAATATTTATTTTCAGATACATTCTTTGGGTTAAATTAACATGCATTCAAATTGACAAAAAAAAATCAGTTTGAGTTGAAAATATTAAATAATACAAGGGAAATTCAAAAATAGCTTAGATTATATTAATGGTTAAATTACTATTAATTATATTAATGCTGATAGCCTTTAATTATTACGCGTAATCTGACAGGCTTTCAAGAAATATTTTTGCAAAGGATAAATGATTATTTTCCAAAATAGGTGGTTTTAAAATTCATAAAGTAAGGCTATATTCTGACTTTCGTGGTAAGAATAGTGGGTAGTATCACAGCAGGAAATAAATACAGGTTAAACACATGCGTATTTAGCTCAATATTCTAAAAGGGGAGAAGACAAAAATAAATCTACCTAGTGTTTAGAAAATCAATCAATTATAAAATATATGGGAACTAGTTAAAGAAAAACAGAAAGAATTGCTTTAACAAAGTCAATTAAGCCAAATAAATCTCTACAGTATACAACTCATTAACTGACAAACTAAAATTAGGTTACTGAAGGAGAAAGGTCTTTTTGAAAAACTGAAGAGACCTGAATATATAAAAAGTATGGAAAGTCATGCACATCAGAAATTAAGAGGATCTGAAAGACACCAAGGAACTTCTTGGAGAAATTAGAAAATTAGTAAAGATTGATTAAATAAGACAAAGACAGGAAAATAGCTGGAGAATCAGTAAGATCACTCTATCAATACATACCTGGAGTAAACAAGCTGTTAAGATCTCGTATGATGGCTCTGAAAGAAGGCCTAAAATCTGGTCCGTAATCCATACAATTATTTATAAGATTTGCTAACTCTGTCCACTTTGGTGCAGGAAGTTGGTGCCTGTCTTCATAGAACTGTAGCTTCTACAATAAAGAGCCATATGTTGAGAATGAGCTGTGTAAGGCCATGATGACCTTCCTTTTAAAATCAGATCTGCTAAAAAATTAAACCACGTGAAAAAAGTATGAAGGATCACTGACAGAGTAATTCCAACCTCATAGTCTAAACAGACTTACCCTTTGGGAATCCAGAGCACTGAGAGGCTTATCTCCTCCACTGCAGATTTCCCACAAAGTAGTACCAAAACTCCATTTATCTGTTGCCAAGCTTAGATTTCTAGGATTTTCAATGCATTCAGGTGGTGCCCATGGTATTCTCTCCTGAAGAACTTTTAAATGATAGGAACAGTATAGTTAAAAAGGCCCTACTCATAAACCATTCCTTTATATGCAAATAATTTTCGAAATCATTTCAATAATCAGGGTTTTTTGTTTGTTGTGTGCACTTAAGAGCTGGAAGGGATCTTTGAGTTCATCTAATTCAATCCCTTAGCTTTAACAGTGATGACACTGAGACCCACAAAGGCTGAGTCTTTTGGCCAAAGTTACATAGCCGATTAGTGGCATGGATAGACTTAAAATCCTGTATAAGGAACCCCTGATCCACTGAACTTTTTTCCATTAAACCACAGTGTCTCAACTGGCATCCCACTCCCTCCACCGCTTCCCATTAGCACTGCGTTCGAAAAAACATTTTCTATAAAACGTGTCCTAAAATTACCTCTTGGTATTTTTTTTTTTTCTATTCTTCAGAATGTGTAAGCAATAAAGATAATGTTACATCATTCCGCACTGTCCTAAACGATTCAGTGGCAGTGGCAATCCTGACTTGCACGTAAAAAAGCAACAACTAACAGGCATTCACAATATGGCAGAGGAAGGACATTACATACACTAAGATATTCTGGGTACAAAACTGACATCGGTGGATTCTGCTCAGATCACAGAACTCCCCAAGTAAACACTCCATCTGTGTTCTGTAACTCCATCAGAAAGATGGTTTTCAAGCAGGGAGGGCGCAATATAACACCACCTTCTGGTATTCTGGCAGAAATAAATATGAATGAAGAACAATCTATTGCATCTCTTGGTACATTTTGGCAAAGTAATGTGAATGTTTTTGCTGTGTAATCAAGAGAGTAAGGAGGACATTGGTTCCTTTCTCCTTCACCAGACAAATACATTTTCTCACTCTTCTTCTCCCATTCCAAAGGGTAAAATTTCCCTCAGTACCAGATCTAAGATCCTATAAGATTTTCTGCCTCATTCTACTGCCCTATTCACTACCATACAAGCCATCAAGTACCACTGTCTCAAATAGGATACTATGCATGAAATGCATAAAAGTTGATCAATTTAGATACTATATTTAGAATATTCAATTAGATAAATTAACTAAAATAATGAAATACAACTACAACATTATTTGGACCAAAAAAATCCCATTCAATTATCTGACTGAAATTTTTTCTTTTAACTAATTGTGTTAAATGGATTAACAAGCACAAGAGAAAACTACAAAGAAGTTTTAAAAAATCAGAGTTAGCTCAGTACTTAAACTAGATGAAATTCCAAACTAGATAATATGTCTTCTTAAGTTTTTATTTAGTGACAAGAGGAAAATGTAGAAAGTGTACTTCTGGCTCAAAGAATGATACTAGGAAATTAAACATTTAAAAAATGGAGAAAATCCTAGCTTCCATATATAATTAGGGATTAAAACTGTTAAAAAATATCATCTCACATATTACAGTGACATGTTTATAAGAAAGAAGAAATGGACAGAGACTAAAATGCAACTACTACTAATTTAGAATGCTAAAAATGATAGCTATTTTTTTTTATTAATCAAGAATATATCATTAAAATAGAGTATAAGAAATATTAACAACATGCTTTTTAAGCTACCCCCCAGATAAAGTTTAATAAAGGAAAGTGCGATCGCTATAGAACTTACTGTCCTTTGGCAAAACTGTAATACTAATGCCAGGATCACTAAGTTTGATGAAAGGAGGATTTCCCGTCTTCCTGTCTTCTTCTCTGATAAGCAAAATATTTTTGGCACACACATTCCCATGAATAAGGGTTTTCTCTTCCTATTAAAGTTAAATGTACATACATACACATATCAATCCACAAATATTTGAGCACTTAATCTAAATCCCCAAAATGGATTTAAGGGAGAAAAACATGTAAGATAAAATAATAAACGTTAATTTGGAGGCATGCTTTGAGGAAGTAAGTTTTATGACAGCACTGTACTTCCTGTTTTCACATTTTAAAAGACACAACAGCCTATACCCATGACGAAATGTAAATTAAAAGCACCCAATGCCACTTCACTTGAGGTTTAAATGGTCTGCATCTCTAGATGGTAGCAGACATTAAGAAATACTGTCTCTGTCCAGCAACAGGGTATCGGTGCTGTACCCTCTGCTGATCACTGGCTGGCCCTCCGCTGTTCTGCTCCTAGGCAGTACTGCTTTCTCAAGCACATAACGTCCAACTGCCTACGGACAGGGTTGCTCTGCTATCCAGAGCCGGCACAACATGCTTCTGCATAATTTTTGGTTAAATTCTCTAAACCCAAGTGACAAACTACAGACTTCCCGTCAGCAGTTCTAAGAGACTGACAGGATGACAAAACTCTTTCAGAAGTGATTTTACATAAACAAACAAGTATATGTCTAAAATTATAACAAAAATAACAACAAAATTATTTTAAATGACTTGGAATTCATTTACAGATTTATCATTTGTTCCCAGGCCAAGATAATTTC